GGGCGGCTGGAGCCCGCGGCAGCCCGCGGTTTGCCCCAACAGCCTTCAAGTGTCGTCTGAGGTGAGAGCTGAAGAGTCTGGTGTCACCTCGGCGTATGAGCTCCTAGCCTGGGCTGAGGAAAGGTATCTCTGCTTTTCCATGTTTTCCACAGGCTAGGTGAAAATGCTACAGTCTTAGGCTGTCTCCTGTAGCCTTTTGGAGTAAACCCTGGCTGCCTCTGGCGTAAAGCGGCAATTTTGCTGCAGGACCTGTGTGTTTCAAAAGGGCTTAGAGAATAACTAAAATCTGTCTTTCCATCACAAAACACAAACTTAGCTCGTGTCAAATCACATAGATACCTTGGCTCTTGGATGTTTGTTCTGTACAGTAGTGAGGTGAGAAATGTTGCTTTCATGCTTTTTAACCTTGGTAAACAAGGTGCTGTGAACACTAAAATTCTTCTATGGGTTTTGCTTGTGGTTGCATTTTGCCTAACCTGCTTTACTTTCTTGTTCTTGTGGATTAGAACCGGTTTTCTGTTCAGCTTGGCACAAGTAAAGATAGGTATGCCTTAAAAATAGCTTTCTTGATTATTTTTTTTTAATATTTTTCTATTTCAATTTTAAAAGTTGTCCCTAGGTTTTTAAACCCCTGAGAAATAGCTGTGATGTTTTCAATAGGATGCTTCGAAGTAGTGTATTTAATTCATTGAAAATTATTTAAAAGATTTAATAATAACTTTTTTAAAATGCATTAAGTATGAAATCTTCCTGATACCCTGAAATGCAACTCTTTGGAGATCCCGAAGTAATCTATTTTCTTTCTTTATTTTTTCCTTTGCTCTTTTTCTTGCTTATGTCTTAGTTTAGGACTGGATATGTAACTTCAAATAACAATTTAAATTCATCGGTGTACTCCTTCGAATATTTCATTATATGAAGTTCGTTTTCAACAACTTTCCTCTTAAATTCCACTGCCCTCTACTGGCTGGCCCAGGAGGGTCTACCTGCCCAGTGCTCTTTCCTCTCCAGTCTTTTTTAAATCCTTTTCTTGTTTGTTTATTTTTATTTTTTTTAAGGTCAGAAACTGTTGAAAATGTGCTGTGAAAATCTACTAAAAAGGTATCTTTATAAGGTAGGGAAGGTTGCTGGCAGGATGATCTCCCTAAGGAGCCCTGAACTTTAGATTTCAATCTTCTCCTTGATCCAAAATAACCTAGTTGGGTTGATCTTGAAGTCACACTGCAAAGCCTATTTTTCAAAGGCATAAAGGGAAAAATGATATGTTAGATTTGGAATCTGAGCACTGAGAGTTTACATGTATAGCTGGAATATTGTTTTGACTTCCTTTTCTCTGTTCCTGGGATTTGGAAAAAATGCTGTGTTTCTATTTGTAAAAATAATATTTTTGTAAATATAACCACATTAAATATTTATATTTTATATAAATATTTATTTATAAATATTTATATATAAATTATATGTTATATTCCTCCCTCTTACATTTTTAAATAGTTTTCTCCCTTTCCCATCCATGCTGTTCTGTGTTCTACATACCAGTAAATACATGTGCTTGAGTATTTGAATAATCTCTTCTGCCTGACCAGACTTTTCACGTGAGTGAAATCAGATGGAGGATTAAGACTTCCAGCAAGAATCTGAGAGTTCAACACATCTTTGATAAATAAATTGTTCAAATGAAACTTCCAGCTGTTTCTTTTTTATAAACCTATGAACCTTCATTATCACAGATGTGTGTAGCCAATGCATTTGATCCTCTTCCTTCACCAGGCTCTTATCTGAATGCTGTGCCTGAAATTACACTTTCATCTCAGAGCTGTTAAGTCCAGTATAAGAGCTTAGGTTATTTTTAACCTTCCCTAGTCCCAGATGAAACATTTTCTTTTTGTGTGAGAGTGCCTCTTTCCTGTGTGATGACAGCATTAGGTGCAGATGATCATGAGTTTTTCTACAGCCTACAATGGACACAAAGCTTCAATGTGCTCAGCGTCTGTTTCAGCAGAGGGCAGCACATGGGGATATTAAATAATTGCATTTCACTTGACCTTTACAGTGACGCAGTGTTTCCCACACTTTGGTGTTTCCCAGACAGGATAAACCTTGGAAATATTGGGGTTTTGTCTGAAATTCTGGTTTGGCATATGGCTCTTAGTTGTAGAGCTCCCAGGTTTTGAATAGGCTTTGACTGTCATTTTTGGCATTGCTGGTTTAAAAAAAAAAAAGTTTCAACTTTATTGTGTAAAACTGCCAGTTCCATAGTCTTTTCTGCAGTTATCTAATTGGGCAAGGAGTGGCTGAAGGTGGAAGTCAACAGTTAGATTTAATCTATTCTTCTTCACTCATGCCTACATGTGTGTACCTTTTTCCCTTACCAGAACTGTGATGATCCAGGGGAGTGAGAGGAAGAGGGGATAAATTAGTGGATATTTTTATGAAAAACCAAAAAGCTTTCAGTCACACCAGAAGCAGAAGGAAGTATGGCTGCTTTGCAGTTGGTCACACTGCTGACCTTGCCTCTTGTGTAGCAGAGAGATTTCCAGTGGCTACAAAAAGAAGTATGCTGGGGCCTGCTAGGCTCTGATTCTGGCAGCACCACGTAATGTTTCCATTCTATAGTCTTCTCATCTATATATATTAAGGCTGATGCTTTCCTACTTCTCATCCAGGTTGTGAATGTAGCTATTTTGTTGTTGTTTAAAAGATTTTACGTTTGAAGGGCATTGGAGAAGTAAAGTGCTTTGTGAATTATACCTAAATTCAGCAAAGGAAAGTTGCTTTAAGTTCTGTGCTTCCCTTGGCTTTATATGAGTTTAACCAATTTATTTGTTTGAGAGTGCAGGTTTGTTGTTTTTTTTTTCTTCTAAGGTAGCAAGGCTTTCCGTGCTGGAGAATACTGTCACGACCACAGCAAACAGCTGAAGTACCGAAAAAAGGTTGGGCTGTAGCTAGATGGCAGGTATATGGAAGTTAAAGCTGAAAAGGCATCCTGGCTCGCTGATACTTTTTAAATTTTTTTTTTTCTTTAGGTCAATGTAAGATAGACTGCAGAGACATTTCAATAAAATCTCCTTTTAGGATCAGCAGACTTGTTCCTTGTGACTGTGTTCTGTAACTCAGAGAGAAGGAGCAGGATGTGGGTTTTCAAGATGACCGTATGATCCTGTCTGCTCTCTTTAACGTTTTGTATCTCAAAGTGCACGTCCTTTTTGAAAGTAAGGTGGTTTCTTTGTGTTTGTCTCGCTTCAGTAAGTTATTCCTTCCCCTCTTCACCATTTCCCTAATATTTGTTTTCACCTATGAAAATCGAAATGCGCTTGGTGTTGTAACTCATGGTCTAAAAAAAGATCTGTGTAAAGTTTCAGACATCATCATCTCCCAGGGATTTTAGCTGTTGCTATAGAAGCCTAAATTCTCTTTTGAGAGACCTTTCCAATATAAAGAAGTTGATACTGGAGGAAAGTTGTCATGGAAATATACAGCAAAGAGAAAGGAAATCTCCATTTTTTGACTGTTACATAGGCTTCGCTAACTTGGTGAAGTGGTTTCATACCTAGAGATCCAATTCTGCAGTTTCTCTTCGTTACATTCCAGTGGACTGGAACACTACAGACTAGCACCTAAAGAAATAAATTATTTAACATTTATATAACCAAAGATACATCTTCAACTCAGTGAGCTTCATGTTTACCCAGATTCAAGTTTCCTCACTGCATAATAACATCTAAAAAGCAGTATGACACTTCCTTAGGCTACCCAACCCTTCAGATGGGGAGGCAAGGTCCCTCTTGAGCTGGGTTTGTGGCTGTGTTGTAGGAATGGGGCTCATCAGATCCCTGGTGTCAGGCCATTGGGGTGGGCACACAGAGGAAGGTAATCTGCAGCCACCACTGATGTTTCTCTGTTGGAAGGAGCCCCTTCCAGGTGACGTTGGTTGGCCAGGGAATTTCCAGCGGCCTGGTTCTAATGTGGGATGAGCTGTAGCTAGCACAGCTTTTTATTATGCTTCTGGCAATGACCACTCTGAAAGGATTTATAGAGCTACCGCTATTGAAATGAGGCTTTCAGAACCAAATTTTAAATGACTAAAAATAGTTTATTCTGCAAGCTTCAGTGCCATTTCAGATTTGAACAGGGGTCCTTTGTGTCTAGCTAAATGGTGGTATAAGCAGATCTCTCTTCATAAGTTTTGTGTCCACTTATACCATCGCTAAGCCTGGTTAGTTCCCTGGTTTCAAGCTTTTTGTGTCTTTCTTACTAAAGCCTTCTGATATCTAATAGATGTGATTATGAGTGAGCTGCCTTTAAATATCTATTACCAGTGTCACCATGGTAACTGCTGTAAGAGTTTCTTGCTGGTAGAAGGTTTCCAGCTCCCTGAGATACAACAGGGCAAAATGCTTAGGCTGTTGTTTTCACAGTTTGAATGAGCTCACATGCAATAGCAAAGAGGAAAAAATAACACATTTCTTATTTTTAATAACAGTGGATGTGGAATAACAGTGGAAAGGGGTAAGACTGATTCTGGAGTCTGTCCTCAGATCAGAGGCTAGAGGACAGTTATGCAGGCAGGGACAGACCAAGCCTTCCCTGGAGAGCACGCCTTCACCAGCAAGCTCCTGCTGGAAGAGGAAAATGTCACTCTCCTTGACTGAGCCAACACTTGGCCTTTCTTTTGATACTGTCAACAAGTGAACTAATTAATTCTAATGAAGAATGCAAAATCGTGATATTCCACTAGCCATAGGAACACGCAGCGTTGCTGAGTGATTCACTGTCAAATGGGGGGGGGGAAAGAGCTGGCTGGTGTGTTCTGTTCTTGTTTCTCTGTATTCCCAAACTGTTACTTTTTTGCTCTATGCCTTCAGCTGCTGTGTACCAGGCTAGAGGTGTTGGGCAGTATCCAGAGTGACTTTCCTGCTGTCCTGGATTTCCTTATCTTGCCCTTTCCTTCTCTCACACCTTCTTTCTTTCCCAAGTTCTTGTTGCTTGACCAATCAATCCCCTTTTGCTCTGTAATAACAGCTGTTTCTATAGGCTTCTCCATGTGACAGGTTCACTAATGTCCCTCGTGCTAACTCTGTCACCTCAGGAGGTTGTTTTGCTTTTATTTATTTATTTATGGTAAACAGGTCACAAACTCCATTGGATACTTCTTCCTTTTCATGCAATCTGTTCTCTTGCTTCATTACCCTCCTGGTTTAGTATCTTCTGGAGATTTTAAATTATCACTTTCTTTTATAGAAACTTGGAAAGCTGAGCACCTATTTCTGCCACTCTCCCACTTCATTAGCTGTGCCTGCTGCTTTTGGCATTTAGGCCTTCTACCTGTCGGTAAGGGAGGCTTCCGTTTGTGCAACTGGCTGTTTGGTGTAGCTGTTCTGTACAAGAAAATGGGAGGCTGAGCTTATGGACCTTGAGGAGAGTTCAATTTGCATTCCCTTTCCTTGTTTGTGTGTGGGGACAACCGACATGATGGAGCCAGAGCGAGTGGTACTGTGCACCTCTGTGATGGAAAGAGTTCCACCTCTCTGGAGGATGAATTCATACTGATGAAGTGCTGATATTTGTCCTTACCTGTCTCACAGACAACATGATCCACATACTAAGATCTTTTTTGCTGAGCTTAAAAATGCTCATAATTTATTTCAGTTATAATGTTTATTTTATGCCAAATTTGGACTGGGGGTTTAAAATTTGGAGTAATTATGATTACTAACCAAGAAATCCAAGGAAATAATTTTCATAAGAAATCTTGAAAGCAGAACCTGGATCTCAGAAGGGAATTTGCTTGCATTGTACCACTGCATGTTTCTTAATAGTTATTCTGTACCACTGCGGTTAATACTGGGAGGATATCAGTGTTTGGGTACTTCAGATTTCAGCTGCATGGTTAAATTTCTCAAGTATGCTAAATTGTTTGAAAAATTTAAGCAGCCGCAAACATATTCATTCATACAAGCTGTCTGGAAGCAAGGAATTGCTGAACTTTAATTTAGATTCTCCCTTTTTTCTGGATTTGGTTATGTCATCAAAGCCAAACTTTTATGCTCTGATTCTGGGTGCCTATGTATGACAATATGCATGCCTCTTGCAAACCTGCTGTCTTATTGTATGGGAGCTAAAAATCAATGGGCACTGTAGATCCTTAGTAGCTTGTGATATTTTGTCAGCGATTTAGGGGCCTTCATCTCCCTACCTGTAAAGTAGATGAGTTATTAAGCTACTGCAATGATTAGCTGATTCTGTTCAAGTAATCTGTAAAAGATACAGAGAGTAAGAACAAGACAAACTCTAAGACATTGCTATATGGGGAATCAAACTTACCAATAGCTTTTTTTTTTTTCTCTGAAACCCTGATCTACATTAGAGGGCTTGTTCATCTCCTGGGACTTGAACTCCTTGTGCTTCATCAGCTTTCTCTGTTAATTTGTCCTAGTTTTTATTGCTACTGGGCTCCCTGTGATGCACTCGGTGCATCTAGGCATAACCCGCAGTTCTGTTTCCATTCAGGGTTTGTCAGCAGTTCCAGCGCAAGTCCCTTTGAAACAAAGCTGACAACTCAGGTCTTCTTTTTGCATCACCCTGAAAAAGTTCAAAGCAGTGGAGCATTCCTCCACTGTCCCGTTGGTTTTTTTTTTTAATTCTAAGTCAGCCTCCAGCACATATCTTCTGCAGTCCTTAATTTTCCTGCATACCTCTCCGTTGTCAGTGATCAGCAAAAATTTAATGCAATTATTTTCTGTTCAAGACTCCTTAGCGTTTCTAATGGATACCTGTTGTAATTTCTTTCCCGTTAGGTGATAAAATGCAAGTTTTTCCAGGATGTGATCCCTCTTGGACAATAAGCAAAGGGAACAAGTAGGGTTGCACAGTATTTTGCTTGTGTAGGTAGTAAAACTTGCTGTGCTACTTGAATATGGTAATTCTCTATGAACTATTAATAAATGCCACATTATAACCTATATATCAGAAAACCAGCAGTGAGGAATAATAAAGAATGAAGATACTCCCTTTCCTTGAAGTCTTTCATTTAGTCATTGAAACAGAAAAATTCAGTTAATTAAAAAAGAACACTGAAAGTCTTATTTTCCCCTTTCAGGGAAGAGCACTGAGTATTGCCTTTTTAACATATTAAGTTTTATCTGTATTTTGAGTAGAAGGATGACTGCAGTAAAGCTATCCTTGGTTTGTTGCTGGTCTCTGCCTGTGAAAGTGCAGACATTTAAAATTGCAGAGAAAAATAAACTTTGGATAAATGTGTGCAAAAGTGAGCAGAGGCTTTTATTTTAAATATATGAAATACAATGAATAGTCCTTCACCACATAGATTTCCTTCCTCATTTTGCCTTTTTCTGTGGGTTGGCTTTTTTGGGAGGTAGATAGATGGCTGTTAACTCTTCAGTGTTCTACTTGGAAATGCCAGAAATGCTGAAAATTGCTGGCGCCTTACAGACTCTTACTTTTGAAACAGGCAATTTCCTAATTCTATTTTTGACTTACTTTGTGGCTGTTCCCTTGGAAATTTTAAAGTTGTTGTCTGGTCTTCTCAAATTTTGGCAATAGGCACCAGGGGAAGCTGTTTTTCATCTCCTGTAGCACTCCATGTTCCATAAAACATATCTGCCTTTATTCCAAATTTAATGATTCTAGTCTCTTCCAGCAACAAGTATTTTCTCTAGTTGCAGGTCAAAGCTGGTAGCCATGCCACAGGCTGAGCCCCTCAAGTATATGAGTGGGAGTGTGAAGCTGTATAATAGCCTCCTAAGAACAGAGGGGAAAAAAACCGAAAAAATCCGAGTTCCCAAGTCAGAACACACAGCTTTCTTGCGCTGGCGGAGCCTTTTTGGCAACAGTTGCAGGAGATCACTTTCTATATCCACCCATTTGATCAGCATCATCTTTTTAACTGAACAGCAGTTGTTTTTGTCAAAATGAAAAGTGGTGCCCCATGATTCATTCTGCAAATGTCCACTAGCTGCTTGAACTTCCTGACATCTGTAGTGGAACTGAGAAAATAAAGAAGTTTGTATCAGTTATGTACAAAAAGGAAGAAGGCGTGTAGTAAGTGCTGTCCCAAAGCCATGGCCTGACTCCACTAATACTGTCTGATGCAGACTTTCCTTTGTAATTACTTTTGGTTTTATAACTCCAGACAGTAATCTTCCAAGCTTTATAACTGAATTAGAGACTTGCTTTAAAAAGACATTGTTATTGACATAATAGCCTTGTTTATGGAATTTCTCTCCTTTGTAATTAAGATTGTTGCATGCACAAAAGCATTTAAATAGAGCATAAATATCTGCAAGTGCAAAGATATTTTAAATCTTGTTTCTTGCATGAGTTTTTTTTCCACATTCTTTCAGTGCATTTGCTTCTCAAGCTATGCCACCAGAGGTTCTGCCCTTTGTCTATTCCATTAAGTTATGTCTCATCTATACTCATTCTTATAAAATTGCACAAGAAATGCAGGTTGCAACATAAAGCTTTTGAATTCTTCAAATACAGTATTTTAAAGGTGTATTGATTAGTGGGATTTGGCCTCATTCTCTCATACCTTGTTGCGGAGTCGTGGGAGCTAGTGGATTGAGCAGCATGCAAGCAATATGCTCACTGTTATTTTGTCTGTCAACCTGGCAGATTCTTTAAAAAAGTTTATAGCACTTATTGAAATTGTTTTCTCAGCTGGGCTGTGTGAAAGTAATTATGGTGAAGGCCCTGGACAAGCCACAGGCTTTCTAGATGAGCCTGGACGACTCATTTTAGCTGTCTGTTTCTGGGCTCTTTGTTCATTAAACAGGCAATTTTTCAATTCAGAAGGTTTTGTGCTGCTTAATTCTTTGGTCTAAGTAAAGAGATCAGATAATTATAGCAATAAGTGCTACAAGAAAACCTCTAAATAAACAAATTTACTGTCTGGTCTTGTTGGGTTTGGGGAGATTGTATGCCGCTATTCCAGTCTGTCTACCAAAGCTGAAGCATGTAAATGCTGTGACTGTCTCTGTGTCCAAGCATTTTCAATTTTAGATTTTGGTCAAGTTATATTTATCAAAGCTAAAAATATCTTTGCGAATGAAACATAGTAGCTCATCTCCTCTCTCCACTCTCTTCACTTCAGTTCTTTATTTCTCTTGGCTGAAGGACAGGGAAACCTCTAGAGCTGACAATGCTGCTCTCCCACTGAGCCTGTACGAACTTACCAGAAATGGCAAAGAGACAGGGTGCTGCAGTCCAAAAAGTGTGTTTGTTTCCTTCAGACAAAGCTTTTCAGGTAGGTGTACACAACTGATGTCCCTCCCTTTTATGAGTTCAGGGTCCAGGGACGTGCAGTTGTTTGCTTCCGAGTCAGTATTTTTCAGCTGTATCTATTCAGTTTTGAAGGTAGTCCATAATCAAAGCCGAGAGAGTGATTTAGTCTCCCTCCACTGGATACCTAAGTGACCTTGCTGCCTATGCGTGTATTGCTGAATGCAGTGTCACTTCCTCAGGGAGGAGAAACACAGTTCATGTAGATCACAATATCTACAAGAAGGTTAGGCAGTACTTTGTCATACATACTTCTTATCTGAGCTGTGAATAATCTCAAAACCTCTAAATGTTAGATGTGTAAAAATACGGAATGGATAAGTTCTTCTACTTGTGATCACACAGCCTGTACTCAGGTACTGAAGAAACCGGCAAAGTAGGCTGGTTACAAGGATTGGTACTGCGGGTGTCCGTGAACTTGGAATAGCACCTGGCATGATTGGTTGAATGTTTAGGGACATATAACTAATAATATGTGCTTGAGACCTGCCAAACATAGACCATTTTCACATGCTAAAGAGGTCATGATGTGGTCTTTGTCTTGCTCAGGTCTTTTAAGATCAGAAGCCAAGAGTTCCTCACTCTTAAGAATATCATGAGAAATTCTGATCCCAGATCCATAACCTTCAGAAGGGACTCAGTTGACTCAATCTGTGTCTTAAGGTTTCTTTACTCTGCAATAACAGGTGCTAGCACTGAACTGAAAACATAAATTTACTCTTGGCATAACATTAGCTTCCTTTAAGCCCCTTTGGCACCTAGAGGAAGGAGTTCCAGAGCAGGGTTGAAGTTGAACTCTGAAGAGTTCAAGAGGAAGAGTTGCAGTAAGGTTGAATTATTCAGATGCAGCAACTCTTCTTAGGCTCATATTGTAAATCTTCCCTGTCTCTCTATTATGAGACAACTCCTGTAGCATCAACATTGCTTATATACTAGGCCCACGCTGCTGGGAAAGGATCCCTCTCTGCAGTTCAGGAGAGAATTCCTCATCTGTAGTCACAGTCTGAATGCCTCAGGTCAGAGATGTCAGAGAGAGAACAACTCCCTCTCTGGACAGAGTCGAACAAAAAGCCCAATTCTAAACACCTCAGATCTCTGCATTTGAAATTTAGATTAGATCTCTCTTTGCATCCCCTCTGTTTCCTCCAACTTGATACTATCTTTGCTTGCTTTAACTCTGTTAAGACCTCTGGTCCTTTTCTTCCTGTTTTCAGAAGCTAAATTCTCTTCAGAAAGCTTAAGAAAGGGGAACATTCTTGAGCATTGCTCACTCTTGTCCCTTATTTGCTCTCTTCTAAATAAAGAACAGATTGACGCTTCTTGGATAGCTTAAGATAACTCACTCAGGACTGTTTCTACTTACTTCTTGTATGAAAGCCTCTGTCTTAGTGTATCTTCCCTCCATGCATGCACATGCTTTTCCACTTTTTTGAAGCAATGATGGAGGCAAGGGAGATGTTGTAAGGTGTCCCGGGTGTGATTGCTGGCACTCTGGGGGAGAGATTATTAGCATGAAATATAAAAACTTCTGAAAGCTGCTTCTGTAGTTTCTTCTGAAAAATGCCTTCTTTCTATGGCCGCCTCCTTGCCCTTACAGCATTGTATATACTGCATGTTTTTACTTGATTGGATCATGCAGACTAGTCTGGGTTTCATGCTCTCTGCCTGGTGTCCAGTGCTGCTGTTGGGGATTACAGGATACTGAAGGAAACTCTTCATCTGCTTTATGGATTGAAGCATCTCAGTGTTTTGGAGGTGAGATAAAAATGGCTTTCTTGCATAAATCCTCCTTGCTTTGATGAAAATATAATATTTCTAATTCCCCTGAGTAAGCAAGTGTGCATATGCGTGTGCGTGTGTGTGCTGAATGCCAAAGCGCTGGTGAAGCCAGCTTGCTTCCGTATGTGAATCATTTCTCAAGCAGCTCTCTGTGTCTCGCTGCAATGTGGTTTTCCTCTCGGGGAAGCACTCAAGCCCTGAATTTTCAGTCTGGCTTACACATGCTGTCAGAAGCTAGTGGGAGACGGTTTTCTTGTTAGTGCTGAAAAGAGGACAAGCTTTTACTGTAAGTACTTTAATATCTTTTATTTTTTAAGATGGGAACTGTACTATCTCTAGAGGGGTTCTAGGATCAGTAATGTATTCTTAGAGTGAATGTACCTGCTTTGCTCAACAACACTTTTTTCATAGTATCTCACTCTAAAACTAAATTACACGAAACAAAAAAAGGTACAGTGCAAACAATTCTGTATTAGCTGCAAATGGGCTGGGGGTGGTCTAAAAGCCATTACAACAACAAAAAAAATCCCACCATGTGAGTCTGTGCAAGCTGGCTTCGGTATTTTTCTTCTGCTCAGCTAGATAGTTTTAGTGACAGAAGGGTTGAAGCTGTTTCTGCGCCTGGTTCTGCTTTCTTCTCTGGCAATTTAAGGTTGTGCTCCAACAGCTAAATGAAGCAGGAGCACGAGCAGACTTTCAGCTGCTACTGTGTGTTCACACAGTCCAGTCAGGAAAGGGCAGAAAGGAACAAGCTGCTAAGCAAGTAGGTTTGGCAGCTAGCGTCTCTGCAGGGGATCAGCGAAAGCATCGGGGAGCACACCAGACGGCTACCCTCTTACAACACTACAGCAAAGAGCTGTTCATATTCTCAGCAGGACGCTTTAATTATAGCAGTTTAACAGTTGTCCTTAAAATTGTACTGTGTACTGAAGCTTGATCATAATAACAATAGTAATAATAATAGCATTTATATAGCATGTAATATGGCGAAGTTGAAGAGATGTTAATTAAGTCCTGTATGTGTAGCAGTAAAAGATTACTGGTAGAACTGGTTTGAAAACAGGGATTCTCTACCCCTTTCTCTTGTACGCAGTCTAAGTTCTTCTAGATGTCCCTTACTACTGTCTCACCTCCAAAGGGACTGTTTTGCATGTTCCTCTTCTACCCTCTCTAAATTATAAAGTGTTCCCTGCCCATGTAACCTCAGCAGGAGAGAGAATATTTGATTTTTGCTGAAATATGGTGTTCTTTTGTCTGTACAACTTGACAGGTAACTAACACAAGAGTACCTCATCCTAACACACACATGTGTATGTACTAGCCCTTCCCTTTCTAGTTCAGTTCTAAATCAATATAATTTCATTATGTAGCCCTCCAAGGTGGGTCTTTCAGTCCATCAGTGGTCTCCTAAGTAACAGTTGTAAACAGTTGATACTGTTGCCGAAATCTTGTTCCTGTTTGGTATGAGTGTTTTTAAAATGCAGAAGTCTTCTAGTTTCTCTTGCAGTTTTGGAGTTATGTCCTTGTCTTTGCAAAGAACTCTTTCTGTTAGAGTTCACACTGTCACTCAAATGTTTAGAAGTTCCCAGTTTATTAACTTCAAGGGGTCTATTCTGTACTTTCATGGAGACTAAATATTTCCTTAAGGGATAGATTCCAGATCTCAATTATTTCTCTGCATTGTGATGGATGGAAAATGGGAGTCAGGGAAACATCCCAGCATGTGGCAATCTGTGGGGCTGCTCACTTGTGCGCTGTGTGACAGATGTTGATTTATCTCATCTTTACTTTTTTTTTTTCCTGTGGGGTTCCTCTCCAAGGCACATGAATAAGCGTATCTTCATGAATATGCTATTTACTGAACAATTATGATCCCATTTTTATAAATGGAAAAACTAAGGCATAGAAAGATTATATGGCTGAGGCAATACCATAAATCTGTGCTGGAGCTGAGGATAGAATTGGGTGGAATTGCAAGCCAGGGCATTGACTGCGATATCGCCCCTTGTGCTTTGAGGGGACAGGGAGCCTGGCAGTCTGTGTGCCGTGTACCAGTCAGGGTTACCATGTAGCCACATGCTGTGCATCTGTCTGTCATTCCAAAAAACATGATCGTGCCTTCTTTCTTATAGATGTATCTACCCTCTATGCTACAGAAAAATGTAGTGACAGGTAATTATTAGGCAAACCGCTTGTAATTATTCTTAATTTCTTTAGCAATTATATAGCTCTTGCTCTATCTAAAATGAAACCTTCTTTTCTTCCTTCTTGCGGGTTGGCAAAACATGAAGTGTTAACCATATGTGTCACTTGCTTTTTGCTGTATTCACTGGGACAGTAATTCAAAGAACCTGGATTAATGAGCAGTAGCTACCTTGAAATGGTTCTAACATTTTGTTCTCAACCTGCAATATACTGAACATAAATTAAACCCATCTATTCAGGGCAGAGTCATATTGGGGAAAGCCCAGAGTGACCTAATTCTTTGCGATTATAACATGGTTGTAACTGCAAAAATGAAGTTTGGAATCAATGCATCATTTTTGCCCTTCCTGAATCTCTCCTTTGGCTTGTGTCTCCACAGGGCGGATGTTAGATATACTTTCCCTGCTTGCTGTACATTGAAGCAATGAGGGAACTACAACTTATAAAAATGCATTCTCCAAATTCTGTAGTGTGGAATCACTTCCTAGATGTAGTTTTGATGTGACTTGATAAAACTTGGAATTTATTGTATAACCTCTATGTATGCATTCTGCCACTATGTGCTTTCATGTACACTCTCCCAGTATGAGAATATGCTGCCCCTGCCTGTCTGCCTTCCTGCAAATGCATGTTGCCACCCTACTGTTCTGACAGTTTGGGGTTGTTTTGTTTTTTTTTTTTCTTGCATGCATCCACCAGTAATATGATGAACATGATTCAGAATTGCCACATTTAAGTCTACATCTCTGCTCTGGAGTTAGTGAAAGATCATAGCAGTCTTTTGTCCTTTCAACCTTACCAAGACAACACCTCTACTTAAACCAGAGAAGCATGGTGGACTTCTACTGATAGCCAGCAGACAGTTGTGCTTCATGGCTTCTTCGGTTATCCCACCATCCAGCTGGTAGTTGCCACTATCCTTCTGGAGAGCTAACGAACAGAAAATTACAGATAAGTTGGAATTTTTGTTTCCTTATCCCCATCTGCTTTGTAAGACCAGAGGTCATAGGGAGGTGTAGCATAGTTTCTTTTCTGAGATGTGTTATGATGACTGGTTAGGTAATCAGTGTGAAGGATGAGGAGATTGAATATCCATGTGCAAACAGCATAATTTAAATTACAGGAGGAGCATGCTCCCAGACACTTCGTTTGACAGCCTAGGCTTGTTTTTTTTTGTTTTTTTTTTTAAGCATCAGCCACTGGGCTGGATGACAGTTCTGGGGATTTTACCTTAGAGAAGTAGCAAAGATACTGTATTTTCCTCTCTTATAATTAGCCGGTAATATGGAAAAAGGACAAGAGAAATGCAGCTAAATAAATCTTTTGTCCATATGCACACACAAGGACTCTTAACTTTTGCATTTTTTTAATGGGATTTAACAGAATAAAAGATTGACAAATCCAAAACGCCAGGGAGAATTACTGTGGAGGAGGGTGGGCAGTAGGTTTTGCACTGCTCTTGCCTGTTTATGCCTGGAAAAGTAATCAGTGACCCTACTGGTTACTGTGGGAAGAGGATTTTCTTTTGAGCCATGTTGAGACATGGAGTTTTGCAGTTGCTGACCTGGACTCTGGAAGTCTTGTTGGGATGGTTTCAGAGGCTGAGTTGATGGCCAGAAACCTGTGTTTTGCAGCTAGCTGGAACTGGCTTCACCTAGGCTGTTTCTGATGTAATTTACACATCCTTGTAACCTTTCGGTATATTTATATACTAGTTAATATATATCTGTTTTAGAGCATTATGGAAAACACACTAAGGAAATAAGCAAGAAACACCTTCAGCAACACAAATGTGAGATTGTCTCTTACTTTACCTCTGGTTACAGTGGTAACTTTGTCTTTGTGCATTCCAAGGGAGTTTCCATTGTCTGTGTGGTTCCATCCCCTACTATGAAGGGAAAGGAACTGGCCCTGCAGTAGTTGCTTATACTGTAGACGAAGGGAGCCATATATCCTGTAAAGAAAATCCTCGTCTGATGCCATATTGAAAGTGCTCTTCTGAGGTGGTTTTGGTGTGTTGTTTTTTTTTTGAGTCCCATAGAAAAGCAATTAAAAGAAACCAAAGTCCAAAGGAGTAATTTTGATATGAGGATACAATCTGCAGTCAGCCTTAGCACAATGGAGATTTTGAAGATGTGACTCAAGCTATAGGATAGCCACTGATCATTAAATTCTGTGACTAGTAGTTTGTTTTGTATTTTCCTGGTGATTAATTGGGTGAGCTTGGGCACGTGTGTGTCTAACTTTTGTGTATCTGTTTTATAGCTAAAATTTATCAACATTTTTAACTCGTTGCAAAAGGACCTGGATTCTGTAACTGCCTAGCTGTATTTTTATAGTACATTTTTCCACTCTTGAAAGTTTAAAAAAAAAAAAAAGCTGCCTTTGCTTGAGGTATGCATAAAACCAGCAGAATTTGCCCTGCTGTAGCATGCAGTCTGGATGTGAAAATTTCCAAGTGATGTCCTGTCTCCTGGTACTTTACCAGAAAAACATGAAAATTCAGCTGCAAGTGAGACTGCAAAGCGAGTCTGCTGAGATAGACCAGAGGAAACTGCTGCTCAGTGTTTGGCCAGCAAAAGCAAGAAGACCCTTAGAGGTGAGGTTTTGGGAAATGGGAATATCTTGTCTGTTCCTTTGAGTTATGTTTAGGTGGAAGAAAGTGGGTGAGCTTTCTAATCCAATTCTAATGAAAGCTAAGCTTTGTACCAGCAAAAATCCAGCAAGTGTTTCTACTTGGAGTAATGAAGGAAGGTTGCACTGAGCCTCCAAGACGCTAAAACCAAGGTAACAGAAATCAGAGAAAAGAGAGGATCTCCGAGTTACCAATTACTGTATTGGACTATCAACTTCTCGGGTTTGTGACCCTGTCTTGATTCCTGATATCAGCTAAGAAATCAAGATGAGTCATGTGGAAGCATCTGTCAAGGATAAAAATTCTTGTTTAAAATGAATTGATGTGAAAGGCAGAAAAGAATTCTATTTTAGCCCAGCTGGCTATCCTGCCATATAGCTTCCTACACACAGCTAGAAAATGCTTTACAGTTTACTGAACTTGTTAGATATTTCTATGTTCCAGTTGATAGTTTGTCTGAAAATAGCAGAGATTGATTAGGTTGGGAAGGAAAATAATATAAGCATGACACAGATTTTACATGCTTAAAAAACAAATAAACAAAAAAAAACAGGAGAAAATTGTGGTTTGATTTCATGAGAATGTGTAGTAAAGGTTCTGGAATAGTCTGACCTTTTAATGTAATGGAAAGTAAAAAAAATTACAGCAAAATGGCACTGAAGATTGTGGGGTTTAACCCACTGAAGTCAGAGACTTCTGTCCTTTGGGAGTCCTATCTGCAAAGCTGGTACTTCTGACCTTATTTTTCAGAAATGCTGGGCATTCACAGGTCTCGATGAACTTGCTGCCTGGTACGTTAGTCTCCAGATCTAGTAATGAGTTTTCATCATTCTTTATTTCATTCATTTTCCCAAAGCAACTTGAATCACTCTGCTTTAATTTGACTGTCCTGTTGAGCGAGTAGTATTACACGCAGACATGAGCACCAAAACCTAAATTGTGTAAAGTATGTGGGGTACAGATAACTTGTATCTCTAGCCCCCCAACAGGGATTTTCCTACGTAATTTTTTTATTTAATTAATAGTGTAACTGCTAGGTTTCTTGACTGTGAAATAATATTGCTTGTCATCACTGAAATCAACCTATCCTTTGTAGTTATTCAGAGTAAAATAGCCTTTAATAGTAAGCAGAATGTGTTTCTTAAAAGTTTGTTCTACAGGACTGGTGAATTACTCCTTTGATGGATAGCCAAGCCATAAGATCCAAGAGACGTAGGGTTGTTTCTGCTGATGCTGACTGCCTGTGTGAGTTAGGATAAATTCTTAATCCAGTTTTTCTAGCCATAAAATGGGAATAATTCTAGGCTGGTTCTAAAGACTTTTATTAATAAATGCGTGTGGACTAATAAAGAAATGTCTAGGTGCTTGATCTTTAATAAAACAGTAAGATTTCAAGTAAAATGGACTGTCTTTCCACAGTAAAACTTATCCCAACTGCCAAAATAGTCCACATCAAAAATTTCCAAGTACCCTTTCAAAATACAGGTGAAAAAGGATGAGCTATATAGCATGGCCTGAATTTTTAAAGACTGATGCCTGCAGGGAATTCTGAGGATTACTGAGAGAAAAAGCTTGGTGAGGACCAGCTTTACATTTTTGTAAACCCTCCGATTATCTCATTTGCCATACCTGTTTCAGAGGAGGGATGTACACAGACATCAGTACTTTTCAGTGTAAAAGATTTTAAAAACTAAAAAAACCCAAACCCCTGCGGTTCAGAAGGGACCGGTAATAGAACTGATTTTGCTGCTCTGAAGCAACATATTGTTGGCATGAACCCTCATTTATTTCAACATGGAGCTGCTGCTTATCTTCATTTTTTTTACGTGTTTTTGGAGTACAGCTCCAAGCAGGGGACACTACAGGGATTTAATTGTGGCCCACTAGTGAACTGCTCTGGCTGATGCCAAAGACAGACTGACTTTGAGTCTCGAGATGGCAGCATTCTGTTTGCTTCCTAAGGAAAGTTCCCTGTGAAATGTGAAGAAAGAAATGAAAAATAAAATCATAGAGCCCCCGGCATTGCTTAAAGCAAGTTACCTTTTGGGAGAGTAAGCAGAAGCATGTCCCATCTGAAACATATTGAGACAGAATATGTATAAACCTGGTGATTTTTGTCATTGTATTTGCAAAAGCCGCTTGGTTGCGTCTCTTGTGGAAAGCTGCTTCTCTGTCAGATTACTCTATGGGTAGCTTAGAGATCGAGTCATAAACCCTCTGGGGTCTTTTCAGAAGTAAAAGCTGATATTTAGTTAAAATATAGCGGAGTTCTATCAATATATTCTAAGGCCACTGGGACCCATTGCCAGGTGGCAGTTTCACAGAGGCAGGAACGCGGATACACAAGACCTGGAAGGCTGTGTGCAAAAGGGTGTTCAACAGTATCCTGTTATAGTAGTGACGCTATCAATCTGTATGTACTGCCTCTGTTGTGACTTGTGAAAGGGACAAGATGTGTTTGGCTGTGATAAGTTAGTGGTAATACCATTCCCAAGCTCTCATTCAAGGATAGGCCCCATCCCTGGAGGTGGTCAAGTCCAGGCTGGACGGGGCCTTGGGCAACCTGGTCTAGTGGGAGGTGTCCCTGCCTATGGCAGGGGGGTTGGAACTCTATAATCTTCAAGGTCCTTTCCAACCTAAACCATTCTATGATAGCTTATGACTGTGATTGGCTACTTTCAAAGTAATTTCTGCTGGCTCAGAAGGATGGTCTTTGCGAGCTACTGTCGCCAGCCTTGCCCTGAAAATCACATTGAGGAAGCAAAGGCTGCCATTTAGTCATTGCACTGCTCTGACAAGCTGCTGCCTAGTATAGGATTTGGAATATAAGCATAAAATAAGGTGTTTCTGAACCCAAGAGCCTTCAAAAATGCTTTTTTGATCTTTCCAGATTTAAAAGTTATGTTGTTTTTTAATTGTTCATCTAGTAGAAAAAATGTGTTTAAAGCAAGTAGATGAAAGCTGTATATGATGATTTTAATACCATCTCTTACAAGCTGTCCCTATGTAAACTGTTTCTACACCAGGATTAGAGAAACCTCTATGCTCGTGTTAGGCTTCCCGAATGCTAACTGGCTCTAGCCATTTTAGATATCTAAGTTAATACTTTGGTTGACAGTTCACTGTTACCTACTTAACTCAGTCCATGAGGCATTTCATGATGCTGAGCTGCTGGGTTTCCCATTGTCCCAACTGCCTGCAACTTCCATGAAGCTTTTTTAATTGTTTGTTTTCCTGTAAGGCAATAAATTGAATTTGGAGGAGATGAAAAGCTGATGTTGACTCTGAGAATGGATTTCCTGCTCTCATCGAAGAACATCAGGGCTTGCTTCCCCCACTTTGGAAGTAGTTTTGATTAGTAATTCTCCTGAAACAGTACTTCTAATAACACAAATGTGTGTCACCTATCTAGGAACGGAAGCAACTTAAGATGTGTGCAACCTGGCTTTATTCTTTTTGAAGTACATATAAGGCTTGTGAAAAGGATTGGAATCCCACTTCAGAGACTGACTTCTTTATCTACAAGGCAGATTCAGATTAGCCAAATATATGAGAAGCCTTACCTCCGTCTCTTACAAATGCTGATTCCCATATAAAAACATGGAAAACTAATAAACACTAATAAATCTAAATATATTCTTTTCAATTGTAGTTTCATTGGCTTGGCATAGTAAAACATTATTAAATCCACATGGCACATAATTCATCTATCATTACATGAAAAAGCCAGTTTGCCTCAGGCTACTGGCTGGCTTTCTCGTTGTGGTTTGTTTTTTTGTGTTTTTTGGGTTTTTTTTTAAGTATGTCTTCCTTTTACTAACGAGCATATCACTCTACTGCAACTTTAAAATGCGATGGATGACTCAAAATTAAATTCTTTTGGATATCAAGAAAGCATCTGTACAGCTTAAGGCAGGAAAGTATGAGATACAGTTATGAAGAAATCCAGAGGGTATAATAAAGCAACATGCATGTGCAACCACCAGATCTGCAAAAACCAAAATCTGCATAATTTGGAGATCTTAATCAGGAAGATAGTTTGCATTTGTAGTTGCTTGTACACCCATATAAATACAGTGAATGCTATGCCCATTAAAAATATTTTATTAAATAATGTAAAGCACCAAAGCTTGCTAAGGTAGATCATGAACTGTGGGAGTGCAAAACATTATCTATTGTAATATAGCTTACATATCTGTCAGTGCTTTAAAAAAGCAGCCAAGTGATCAGCATAATCATCAACAAAGACTACTCTGCTTTCTCCCCTAATGAGATCAGTTGATGGCTCCATGTTGTATGTGTTAAGAATTTTAATGCAGTAATGACTATATTTAGTAATAATAATAACTACTAACTTTTTCTCTGTTTAGGAGCTGACAGGTTAGAGCTGTGGAGAAAGTAGACAGCCCTCCCTGTGAGAGGCACCAAGGATAAATAGAGGAAATGTCACTTGCTAGCTTTGTTCTCCATAAGACAGGAGCAGAGCACTTGATGTTCCCTTCTGCCTCTGTGCAACAAAACACTCCTTAAATAGACCATTGTGGCACCTGGAAGGTGCTGCCAGTGTCAAATATGACTTGGCCCCTAATGCATTTGATTCCCATTAGTTCAGTGAGTATTCTTATTTATGAATGTGAAATAAAGTATAAAGAAAATTATGAAATATAAGATGTGACCTAAGCTCTTCTACTGACTCAGCTGGGAAGAAATTGCTTCAACGCCTCTGTCAAAGGATTGCTGCCCAAGTTCACACCAGCCCAGCTGGGCTCCTGTGTGATAAACAGTGTGTGCTTACTGTGACTGCGTTCCCCTAGCTGAGACACTAGGCTGATTTCTGTGTCCATCTTCTGGTTATCTGTTTGACAGACAAGAAGCTAGTTAGCCTCTGCCTACACAAGACTGATATGCAGCTACATCCTGTGTCTATTAGAAAATGAAGCTGCGGAAGAAAAATGTTGCTTATACTGAAGTAGGGGAGGAGATACCATACAATCTCCCTTCCCTCCCACTCCCAAATCAGACTGGTGGGACTTTAAAATAAATAAATAAATAAATAAATCCAATTTATTATGTTATTCTGCTCCTAGTTTGAGTTGGGCAAAGGCTGGTGAAAATTTATGGCTTTAGATCTACAAGAGTTGAGCTAGCTAATTGGCAGCTGTCTACCTACTGAGGGAAACAGACTAGTTGTTCCTGCTGGCAGATAAAATTTGTTCAGCTATATCCAAAAAGAATTCATGTCTGTTTACTGATTCCTGGCAGGATTTCTCTCTTGCATAAGCTTATCTCTGAGGAATAGTGGATCTGGATTTTTGTTTACAAGGAAGTTTATATTTTTTACCATGTTTTGTGAATCTTGGTGTTGTGAGAGATCTTTTTATCACTGTGGCAACATCAACTGCCGCTTCTCTAGAAGACTCTAAGTTAAAGATATCATATTTTCCGTACAGCTGAGGAAACTTGCTTCTCGTGGCTTTTTTAAAGTGAGTATAATTTCAGTTGAAGATGCTGGATCTAGCAGTAAGAGAAGTAGTTTTCTTTTTATCCCAAGGTTGTCTTCTATTGCTGTGGGCTTCAGTGTTCTCAGTTACTCTTTCATTGTGCTTCAGTATTCACAGGTGTTCTGCTGTCAGAAGGTCAAGGTCTCTGACTTAAGAGTTCCAGCAAAAGTCAGGGTTCCTTCTGTGGTGTTTCATGTTGCCAATTAGTGTGAAAAATATAAGTGGCTGCAGCCTGCTCTGAGGGTTTCTCAAGGATGTTTTGGTATGTATAAGAGAGGGAACGAAGTTTAGCACGGCCTTTTCAGCCCTTTAAACTGATGCCAGATATCTCTGTTGCTCTCTTTCAGATGATATATAGACAGTTTATGTTTTTGTGTGTGTAGACATATATTTTTTTTTTTTTAAGGTTCTGTAGACTTGAGTTATTTGAGAAGATAATGAAGAGTACTGCCAGGCCTTGGAGTGCAGTGGCAAAGCAAGGGAGTCATGGGATTGACCGAGGAAAACCACTTTCCACCACCTCAACAGGAATGAAGACATCCAAGTCCTCGACTTCACTTGCCTTTGAGTCTCGTCTCAGCAAGGTACTGACCAGTAGGGACTGCGCAAGCATTATAGCCTTGTTCCAGCTTAAAGCTTTGCTTTAGTCCTGGAACATTATTATACCCTGAGACTTGGGGTGGTCTTGACCCCACTGTATTAAGCATAGTGAGATGATAATTGTGTTGTGTATTAGATTAATGTACGTTTCTGAAAATACTTTGCATGTGATAGGGAGACGCTATATCTGTAAAAGGTATGAGTGGCTTCTCTTGCACCGTCTGTGTGTGAGGGAATTGCCTTAAACTTGAAGATGGAGAAAAATAAACAGCAAATTCTTAATTCAACTGATTGTTACACATGTAAAGAAACTGAAAGGGACATATTAGTGGTTTTCCAGAATTCCTAAAAATCTGTGCCTCTGCTCCTTCAAGGCAAAATATATTAACAAAAGATACTCCTTGCAATGTAACAAAGACACTTAATGATTCCTACCTTTCTGTACAGATATATTTCAAAAACAGCAGAAACTTCTGTTAAAGAGTGGGGTTTTTTTAAAAAAAAAAAAATAAGAGTAATACACCGGAAACATTGCTGCATCTGTACCCTTGCTGCCAGCAAACAAAAATAACCTTATCATCCTAATACAGACCAAGATACCAATGATGAAAAAAGATCATGGGCTTCCTGCTTATAACTGTTTCCAAGAATAAAGTTTAGGAAACAATATATAACATGGTACAGCATTTTAATCAAGAGGAGATCTAAACTTCATCAATCGTCACAGTTTCTCAAGAGAGGGATTAATTAACTTGCTTTGTAGACTCCTAGATGCTCTGAGCTTCTTATCAATAACATATTTCAGTTTAGTGCTTCAGGCAGGTCATGTTTGTCATTGGGAGTATGTGCTGTGTGGCTGAGGCAAGCATCTCTGAAGGAATACTACTGAAGAGACGAGTCAGGAAATCTGATATGATTGATTTGTGTCTGGTGTTAAATGTAGAGGGGTTTCTTCCTCATTACAGCTAATATCTTCAAATTGTTCATCATCTGCAAATGCGAGATCATCAAAGTGGTTTCCTTGAAAAACAGGGTAGAAAAAGGCACTGTAGTTTCTGCTGCAGAAGTGGGCACATTGAAGAGATTACTTTAGACAGACTGGAGAAATCTCTAAAGGTCAGAAAGTCAGATTGTTCCATTCTGCTCCTAAAAGTGAGCTGGCAAAACCTCTTGCCAGAAGGCAAAATGTTAGCAGTTTGGTATCCTGGAGCAGATCAACACTTTAACTATTGAAACTTACAGTGCTCACAGGGTCCAGGAAACCACAGACTGAGTCAGAGGAAGAGATGAAAGGGAGAAAGAATTGGAGCTGAGAGACTTCATTTTGTTTAAAGATTTTACATTCAGGATCCGCTAAATAGGGAGAGCGCTTGTTGTGTGCTCTATTTTCATTTAACCCAAGCAGTGGTTTTCAGCCTGTGGTTCATGGACCCCCTGGGTGACATGGGACAACTTCAAAGCAAGTGGGGTTTGATTCGTGAAAACAGTTTAGGTGTCCGCAAACTGAAAAGGATAGAAAAAATACTGCTCTTGGGAGACTCTCCAGAGCTTTGGTCTTTTAAAATGCTTAAAGTATTTTTCCTGAAATTAATTAGAGGTACACAGGCCGTTACGGAGGCACACAAATGGGAAATCAGCTGACCAAAATTCTGAGATAAATATCTACTTCTGCTTGTTGAAGCAACATAATTTCAGGGTTTCTTCTTGAATCTTAAGTTCATTGTGCTTGTATTGCATGGATTTCTTGAGTAGACATTTAGAGTAGACTTGCTCTAGCCTTGCTTTCTCATGTCCAACAAGGCTTACTAAGTAAATTAGAGTGATATACACTAGTTTGTTTAAAAAACCCCACATACTATAAAATACCCTGTAAAGCAAGTAGTTTACCTTCTTCCAAGCTTATGAAGCGTATCAGTATTAATCTTTAGAATTCTGAAGAACACTATTCTGAAAACCAGTGCATTTTTGTGCTGTGAATGATTTCCTTAGTGGTCACATGAACAAAATGCTTTCTTGTGAACAGACTTTACAGTTTCTACTACCCAGTAAGATAGTATTAGGTCCTGCCATGAGACGATTTGCCATCTTTGCTCACTGCTTTTCAATAAACAAGGAGGATAAATAACTGAAATAATATCATATTTAAGATAAGGGATTTCCAGTTGGTAATTGTGTTAGATCTTGCACTGGCTACTCTTGCGTTTTATTGTGGCAGCCTGAGCTTCTCAGCTAAATGAGTTTCAGATTTTTGGCTTGATCTCCAGCATGTTCTTTGTTCATGTCAGATAACCTAGTTTATGAGGCCACAAAGTTGGGTGACTCCTGTTTGATGAACACAGGAAGGAACTGGCAGTTGCTTGCTGTTGGGGCAGCTCAGAAGTCTCTTCAGAGGATCTAAGGTCACCAGTGGGGCAAAACTGCATGATCCTGAGTGGAGGGACAAGAACCAGCAGATCCTTTTAGGATCTTTTTTTGACAGATTAAGGGCCAGTTATTTGCTGTGTGTCAGGCTCTGCAACTGGCACTTACCTGCACAGGCCCAAATACCTGATTACATGTGAACTAATGAGGAAATATGATGAATGAGCAATACCTGAGAAGCCAGAGTTGCCAGTAGTCTGCTCCTGTAAACTATTTTCTCCCTGCCTTTCAATTATTTGCTTATTTGAACGGTCTTTCCCATTTTCACTCTTTGCTATTGAAACAATAGTGTCTCTTAACCCATTTCACAAATATCTAGAATGCTAAACCAATACAAAAATTAATAAAAAGAAAAATTAGTATGGTTATCAAAGCAATATTTTCATTGGGTTACTCTATGGAAATGTTCCTTTTCTCCCAGGAATCTTACATTTTGAACTACTTAATGGGAATATTCAAGGTCTTAATCTTCTGGTTGCTCACAAAATCTCCTCATTGCAGCTGAAGAGGGCAAGCAGTGATGACATGCTCACCAAACCAGGGGTGGCGGCAGCTTCTGGAGTCTCTAGACTGAAGAAGACCATTACAACAGGAGCAATTTCTGAGCTTGCTGAGAATCGACTGAAGCCCAGCACAGGTAGATACAAAGATTCTGGAAAACAGTCTACTTTATATGGACTGTCTTGTGAGTGTCATGGGAGCGTCACCGAGATCTTGGCTGAGTTTTCCTCAGCCCCCTTTGGCGCTGCGGCCACGGGGGGGCGCAGGCAGCCCTCGTGGGGCTGTGTCGGTCTTAGCGGTACACAGCCCACTGTCTCGCAGAGGGATAAATCAATTTGAAAGCTCTTCTCTCTCCGCTGAATGAGCAGAGCGGGTACCCTGCTGTTCCTGGGACACAGCAGAGACGCGAGATCAAAGAGCCAACCCGAGCATCTTCATGTATAGCTTGTGCTCCTAAGCTACGGTGTGGCATGCTCTCGCCCTCAGCATTAGCCCCCATCAGCTTGTTCCCATTGGTTTCAAATCTAAGCCTGTTTCTAAAGGCAGCGACACCATCTGCATACCAAGACTTCTCTGTAAACGCTCTGCTTTCCCCCAGGAGCTCAGCAAACGCTTGCTTTTGTCTGCTCCCTGGTGGCATGTGAGATCTTATTAAATTTGACCATGACCTCCCCATTTGCTTCTCACGGATTTGGCTGTGTAACAGAACAATGTTACTGACTAAAAGCGATTTCTGGGAGAGGGGGGACAAAAGAATAATCTTTATATACTTCCCCCCACCCCTGAAAGAAAATGATGCCTCTTGTAACAGCATGCTTCACAGTAACCCAAAGACAGATCCTGCTCTGCAATTAATCAGTGTGTAAATCCTCAAATGTAATAGTGACTAGTCATATCCAAAGGCATTTGAGATTTACCAGCCAATAAAGAGGCATGACACTGGCAAAAGATGCTTGGGAAGGGTAATGTGGGGAGAAGAAAACCTGTACAGATGATGCAGCATAGGATCCTGGGAATGCAGCCAGGGAAACAGCACTGCAGGGAGTCCAGAATGTAATACATATGTCAGATACAAAAATACTAGCACTGAAATAGAGAGCCCCCTTCTGCATGCATGTATAATAACTGGGATTGGAAGAGGGATAAGATTTATGATGATGACTGCTTTAAATACAAAAGGTAAAATGGTTTATGGAGGTCACATTACATCTGGGTATTGTTTTGCCAATTTAAATTACATCATTAGATCTGATCTTGTATACTGTTTTGCATCAGCGTTTGTAGAAGTATGAATGGGAATATTAGTGCTAAGTGAAAAGAGGCCAAGTGTGGAGTTACGTATATTATGTAGATAAACACTAAGAATATATGTGCTACCCCTCTAAAATTCCTTTTAACCTACAGAGAACCATCCCTGGTCTTATAGGAGCTATTATAGGCATGTATTCAAAAAGACCTGTATCTTACATACCGTAATTTTCACAGTGGTTCCATAGTCCAAAAGAGGGCTTGGAAATCTAGCTATAGTCTGAAAATGTGTCACTATCATGGCCACTGAAAGGTGCTAGATATTAGTGAGCAAGGTTACGAAGCTGGATTCTACTTTTAGATTGTCACACTATGAAAAAATACCAATAGATGTATTATAATACAATATATTGTTGCTAAGAGGAAAATTAAAAATCAGTTATGATAGAGAGCACAACATGTTCCTGGGAACATTAAGTGGAAAAGGAGAGAACATTTTCAGCCATTATATATTATTGAAATGGCATCTCAAATAGTCTCTGATTGTGATCAAGACTACACTGCAATGCTAACTGGCTGTGGAGCTAATCCAAATAAGAATGTTCCTGTATCTGGGAAATGCAGATGTTTGTGTACATTGCCAACTGTGTAAGTTTTGAAATTTTTGTTCTGAAACCACTTTCTTTGGCTTCTTTGATTACCTTCATCAGTTCTGTATTTTCCTTTCATGTCTTAACTGCAGGCATCATGTCTTCCCCCCCCCCCAGCTTGTTTGTGCTTTTTAGATTGGGCTTTCTTTGTCTGTTCAAGCGGGTGATTTGATTATTTTACTGAAATGATATTATACTAGTTCCAGCTACACTCTGGTGGTACTCAGAGTTGGTATTATGGTATTGTGTAAGAGAAACTGAAAGAAACAAGGTATGGAAATAAAAGAAAAACCCAAACTTTTTCTTTCTTCTTTGGGTGTGACTCCAACATTTGTGTGTTGACCTTGAGCAACAAGAGGTGTTCCAAATGCTGCAGTTAATAAATAATGGACATCAAGATTGCTTGTTTAAATAGGCTTGTTTCTATGCTGCCCTTGGTGCAGTTTAGGTTGTTCATTCTAGCCTTGTGCTGACACAACTACCTCTGTCTGCCTTGTTGGAAGCTAATGCAGTAAATCATAAGCAACTTAAAGGGAGATGAGGTCAATGTCATGTATCCATTCTTGGCGATTGGATTTGAGCAAAGGGAACTGGAGACAGATTCCGGCTGGAATTTCTGTGCTGTGATGTTTGGCTTTGTAACTGCTTGGCAGTTTTGAAATCCCAAGTAATGGGAAATAACATGCAGGCAGAAATAAATGTCTTGGATTCAGCTTCCTTATTGACAGTGTTATGTCTTTCCATGTACTGTCCTGAAGTAGCAATTTGGTTTTATGTTAAAACCAAACTTACAGAGCTCTTACGTTGCTTTTAATGTTTTAGTAGATGAAAAAGAACTGGAAAAATTATAAAACAGGAGGAAGTCATCAGTAATCTTGAAAAATGTTTATTTTAGTGCCTGCACTTTAAAGCCATCCAATCTATGGAGCCATATAGTAAATAAATTATTTTAAAATATGTTTAAATAGAGAAATTTATATCTTCATTAAAAACTAGGACTTTCTTCTTAAGGTTCAAGATTATAGGAAAAATGTGATTTATTTCAGATTCTGATGTTTCAAGGCTTGCAAGCCAAATAACCTTAAATAATGCTTTTTCACAGAGAATTTCAAAGCTTCTTATGGGATCATATATTTCTCATTAAGAGCATTGCATGGTGCTACCGGTATGCAAATGGAAAACTTGGGGTTCAGACAGGTGAGCTTGCTTGCTCAGTGGGTTCTAGAAGTCATTCCAATGCTTTGCTCTTGGTTCTGTCACTCACTCTCTACAAACTCCCAACTCAAGCACTTTCTGAAAATTTCCCTCAAGGCTGCCTAGTTTAATCATGTTCATGTGCCTCCTTGCTGTTTTAGCGCCAGCAGCTATTATCTGTCAGTTCCACAGGAACAAAAAAAAAAAAAAAAGTCTTATGCTGGACATTAGAAAAGAGATACAGCCAGGGTATGTGGCTGGGCTGAGCTGTGAGCATGTAATTTGAAAGCATTCAGAGCACTTCAGCCATCCCCATTTCTCACAAATATATTGATTTTTATATCAAACTCTGCCAGCTACAATATGAAGTATCAGTTATCCTTGAAATGTAAGTAACAGATAGCTGTACTTGTTTTCTCAGACTGCTTCATCAGCTTATTTCTTTATTCTTAGGTAAAGTCTAAATCTATACAGACCTAGTGAATTTGCCTTAGAAACAATAGGAAACTGTCAATAACAATGTTATAATCACCTGACTTATTACTTAAAGAAATCCTGGGAATTTTACTCACAAGCTCAGGATCTTTCTAAGGCTCAAACCATGTTAGAAGAGACAGGTACTATATCTTCTCACAATCATAGTGGGATGCGTTATATCTTTGGAGGCCAGGAGAAGCCAAGATGCCAGCAGATGTGCAGGTTTCATCCCATGCTCCATCAGAAATGGCCGTTTATTTTTATGTGTGAAATGGGAAAAATCAATAATTGGCACACATTTTCAGCCAAAGCAACAAAAGTGTGTTGTTTTCTGTGTATGCTTGCTGAGTTGATTAACATCAATGGTTGCAGATGGTGCCAATGGAGAAGTATAGAGGAGGCAAACTCGATATTTAGAGTTTCAATTATCTCCTAGGCATTGAGACTCTGAACTCTGCAGGTTACCTGGACAAGAGCTACTAATCCCAGAATGGAACATTGCCAGCATTAGAAATGAAGCTGTTCAAAGCGCACTGTTGTAATAAGCCTAGTAAATTAAATAGTAAAATAAAAATTTGGCATAATCAGTGAAGGCCATAGAAGGACCTGAAGATTATATTCTGTTGTGGAATAGTTTGGATTGAACAATGTTCAGCTCCAATAAGGAGGACCTCCGTTTTGGTGCGTTTTTTTGTGAATTGTCCCTCCCATTCCTGCCCAGTTGTCAGAGTTAAGGTCCCAATGACTAGATATGATACCTGTATATCTTAGTTCCTTCCCAGTTCTTGTAGAGCACATACCATTAGTCCATTTGTCTATCACTGTTTGTTTGCCATGTAGTTTATGTAAAAAGAAAAATCTTAGTTTCTCTCTAAAACATAGTTGCTTGTAGCTTCTCTGTGTTGATAGTGATGATATTCAGAAAAAGAGAGGCTTTACCTAAATGAGGCTAACTGGCCCCTGCCAGCGTTGCTGTTAGTGCTGGGAAACTGAGTGTCACTTGTGAAACCTGAACAAGTTCAACTGTGGTTGATTTTTTAGAGGGGAGACTTGTATATTTTTATTGCACATATCACTCATTAGATATGCTTCTTCCCTGTCAAAATTGAAAATGTGGCAGACTACAGATTTCAGAGCTTCCTGCATGTTTATACAATTGTCACTTCAAGATTCCTATTTGAGAGTAGTAAATTGAATCTATCATATTTACTGTCTTTCATCTTTCTGCTAATTTCTCTGCTAGGTGAGTGTTTGTCACTTTCTGATGTGGGGTGGCCATTTAGGTTAATGTGAAGCTAATCCAGACCAGAATCCTCCTCTACATGGTCAGAAAATTCAAGAAAAGTATTTTTCTTTAAAAAAAAAAAAGCTTTCTTTAAAAGAATCCTTGCAAAAAAACCTAATTGACAGTTTAATTCTTCATAAGACGCTAATGCACCCCAATTAGAACAGGCAAAAGGAAAGTGATTTCTTTTGAAGGACAGCTCTCTGACCTTGGGGCCCTTTTACTCTCCCATACATCAGTTTTTGACAAGCCCTGCTTTTTGTGATCTGTCACATCAAAGGA